TCTTTTTTTAAGTGGAATGAGAGTGGACATGTTTTGTTACTGCAGAAACTGTGGTATTTGAGGTCATAGTGATTTTTGATCCTAGTTTTCAAGGTTTTGAGGCAGGAGAAGAGAAAATGGTTTTGGATCATCTTCAAACTGCTTTTGAGGGAATAGGAATGGCAAAAGTGATCGTGTAGAAGTGCCTATGATTGCAATATTAAATGAACATGATAAAAAATATTGAACTCAAAAGTTTGTATGCTGAAAAATAAATATACCAGGGTTGGACAAAACTAAATACGTACTAATAGATTCCTCTGTGATATGCAGTTCATCTTCAAGGGTTTCTGACTTCCAGTAGTTTAAAAATGCTAAGTATAACATTCTGTATTAGTCAGACATCTTTTTCTAAGGTTTTGTGCAGCTCTGCTGTACAGTTTTGAGTTTAGTTTCACAACCTCCGATCTGTAATCCTTTTATTGCATGTGCAGATGGCACAATAACAGGTAATAATTTGGCAATGCTCTATGAGCTACTCTCTGACTTTCTCCTCAGCCGTTGGTTTTGTGTGTCTCGGGTAGGCCTCTGAGATATCAGCAAAACAACAAGGGCCCATAAGCCTGATGTCTGCTCAGTGTTGAAGTAGATGACTAATTCACTTCAAGTCATTCAGTGATGTTAAGCTAGTTGTTCAATAAACTTGATGGAATTGTAGTGTAGAATCATTATTGTAGATGCAATTTCCTTATATAGTGCTGCATTAAACTGAGCCTTGTGTCTAGTTTGGCCAGTGATGATTCCCTTGCCAGCTAAAGCTGTGGGAGATTTCAGACAGACTGTTTCCCATCTTCACTGTCTGAGGTCCAGTTTGATGTGTAGTTGCTAGGAAATAAAATTAAAACCTGCTATATGCCAATTCTATGCATTAACATATGGTGTTCCCCTCCATTCTTGTCCTTTTTGAATGGGAAAACATTAGCAAATCTGTTAAAGTCAGCAGACACTGTTCAGTGCTTCATTTCACCTGTTTGCCAATTAGTGTTCTCCAAATATGGACATCAGTCTCTGTAATCCACAGCCAGATACTGAGATTAGGGGGATGTATTGGCTGGTAATTATGAGAACTCAGCATATCTGGAGGGCACCAGATGCAGAAAATGTTTTATTTATTTGTTACTACAGTGACATTTTAACAACTCTTATCAGCCAAGAGTTACATTCTTAGGAGCTCATTCGTTGAAGGGTCTGAAGGAACGTGTACACTATGTATTTTCTTTAACCAACAACACAAGGGGTTTCCTAAGAAAATAAGATATTAAAGCCCCTTCAAGTGTTTGGCATCCAATGGAATGTCTCTCTCACTTCATTCCATTCAGTTTCTCCTTTGCAATTGGGTCAGTTCTTGTTTTTATGTGGATCAATAGCAAGAGCTTTTCTGCTTAGCTTGGCTCCTGTGGGATTCAGTTGCAGCCCTGAGAGTGGGGCAGGTAGCATTGGTCTCCAGGCAACTAGAAGCTGCTGACTGCAGGAAAGCCCTATAAAATCTTCCTACCCATCCTATGGCTTTAGTTGCATATATCCCTTTCTCTCTGGCTATGTGGGATCATGTGATGGAAAAATAATGTCCACACCATGAAATGTGAAATGTTTCATAGCTCTCTTCCTGAGCATTGCATATCAAAACTTTTTCATCCTCTCAAGGAATCTCCTCAATCTCTCTCACACATACATTCATACCACACCAGCCTCTGACCAAGGAGTACCCATAAAGTAAATACTTTATTTCTTCCCAAAGATATACCCATTGGGCTACTTGAGATCCTATCTCACAAGAAGAGAAACTGGACATGGAACAGGAAACACACTATCCCCAAGTGTCCTACATGAGAGCTGCTAGAGCATTCTTCATCTTCATAGTTTGAGCTTTAGTCATTGTTTTGATTCTGCTTTCATTGGTTTCAGCATAAACTGTAATAGGCAGGATGCTCTGATGGACATCTAGCTGAGGTACAATACTTTGGGACATGGGATATACATGTGGGAATTGAGAAGAAAAACAGCTGGTCTTCAGTTCTGAAAAAAATGTACAATCAGATTGGAGCTGAAATTCTTAAGCGATATTCTCTCTCTAATTTTGATCAGCATGATCCTCTATGTCTGCACAGATCAATCCTCTGGAAGATTATTTTTGTTAAATAATTACCACAGTTCTGGCTGCCAAACGTGATATGATAAGAATGTTGGTAGGTTTTGGAAATACAGGAGAAGAGCCACACTAACAAAATACACATTGTTATTTTTTTATTCAACACTGATCTGCAATATGGATGATCCCTGCTTTTCATTTTGATATCTCTAGAGGTCAAATGAGAATATAGAATTGAATGTAAAAAATTTGGCTCTTATTTTGTAAACAAAGCTTTGATTGAAGAGCACAAGAACATTGAACAATCCTTTAAAAATGGGGTTTTGGAGATAACTGTATATAGAAAGATTTTTACAAAAATTAAAGATAGCCAGTTTTAGAGAACAAGAATTCTATTCAGGTACAATCATGGTTAGATTGTTAGCCATTTATAACCACAATAATTAATGAACCACATACCAATATATTAATGCCTGTATGGTGTGTCTAGCTCATTGTGCCAAATATTATATAATGCTGTGATATAGGGATAATAAATAACTTTTTGCAGTTTATTTGTGTGAATGGTTATGTATGAAAAATGCATTATACAAGTCCCATTCAAAGTAGGTCCTTGAAGCATAAAGACTTCTCCTAGAAGAATTTAGTTTGCACGGTATGAAAAAGTATCCAGAGTTAGAAGAAGTCACATCAAAGCATAGCTTCCAAAACAACAACAGGTAGTTTTCCTATGAATTGGCTGAGATCATGGTATCAGGACATGTGTGAAAAGTGTTGAAGTGGAATAGAAACTTAAATAGACTGGTCAAGCCTTGCTGGAAGGCATAGTGATATACGGGAACTGTAGTTCTTGGGTACCATCACAGAATGAGCGTTCTGTGTGGGTGTCTCACCACAATTCTTCTGGAACTCAAAGCTAACCTGGAGAGCTAGATTTTAAGTTGGGAAAATATGCATAGATGTGTGAATGAGTGGAGCTTTTAGTTCAGAAAGTAGGCAGTTGCACTTGTAAAACCTGGTTTCTACAAGTCTGAGTTTCTGGATAAAAAAGAGCAGGTTGCAACTGGTAGTGACATCTGTAATAAATCTCAGTGGTGTCAAAATGATGACTTGTACTATATCATAGCAAGTAATAAGATTGTCCTTTGTGCATCATGACACAAGTACCAAGGTATGACAGTTGCAGAGGCTTGAATGAATGATACAGAATGAATGATAAAGATAGTAATGAATCCTTGTTAAAAAGCAAACAAAAAAAGTTGATGTGCATGTGGTAGGGAGATCTGTTGGGATTAGTTCAGTGTTTTTCAAACATGGCAACTTTAAGATGTGTGGACTTCAACTCCCAGAATTCCCCAGCCAGCATCTCCCAACTCTGGGAGTTGAAGTCCACACATCTTAAAGGTGCCAAGTTTGAAAAACACTGGACTGGAACAAGGAGATTCTGGATCCCATAGGAAGAAATAAGAAAGAAAGAGTGTACCTGTCATAAGTCCCTCAACTATGAGAAGATCCACCCCATTTTTAAAGTTTTTTTTTTTCCTGCTTCACTTTTCTGGGGGAAGGAAAATGGAGAGCCCCTAATGGGGTTTATGGAGACTGTGCATGGAATCCAGATTGCCATTTTACCCTTTTCTGAATTTCCTGGGCTTAATAGCAGTAAGAGCTGAAAAGGCTGTTGTACTGCTTTCTTTTATTCCCTTGGTTATTTTTTCCCTTTGTTTTGTTTCATCATATAAATAAAGGCAAGAAAGAATTCATAAGAAGTAGCTCATGCGCATCAAATGTTCCTCTTGCGCAGACTGCTAATTTCCACATAGCTTTAAATAGGTAGAACTGATCCATGGAGTTGAGCTAATTCTATTCTGTCTTTTTAGACCAGCCAGAGTAAACTCTGCCTTACATAAAGACTTTTTAAAAATATTCCTGCATCAAAACAGCACTGTTGTGGCATTTTGTAGTGTTTGTTTTGCAAGGCCACTTAGCCACCCACAAGGCTCACAAATAGCCTCTGACTCAAATATCCAAGGTGGCTCGGAGGAAGCTCATAGGGTAAGTCTCCCGACTTGTCCTTTCGGCAGCTATATCCAGGGCCTCCTGTGAAGTCTGAAAAGAGGAGAGGACCGTCAGTTAGAAATGATTTGGTTGTTTCCAGTGTTTGCCACCTGTTGACTTCCCAGGCTTGATAACAGCAAGCTGCGGCCTTCCTGGATACCCTTGTTTTCCCACTGCCATAGTGCTGGCAGGTATTTTTTCCTAGCACTTCCTCAGTGATGTGGCCCACGTCTTACCAAACGCAACTCTTGCTGATGGATGGTGGCAGTGATAAAGGTGTGAAGGCAGACAGTGTAGAAGTGTTTCTTATTGTAGCTCAGGGATGGATGTGCAAGTATGTCTAGAAAGGCTTAGTGATTGTTTTTATAGGGAGAGATGTATGCCCCTAATCTAGTCTTCTCCAAACAAGCACTTTTCCGGGGTATTGGACCGCAGTCCCAATAATCCACGGTTCTCCTGCCCATTCCATCTAGATCTGACAGTACTCACTTCATAATTTGTCTTCTATGCCTGATCTTTGTGAAATCTTATCTTAGTAATCAGACAGATATCTATAGTTTTTCAAGCAAAATATGCTATATTTTCAGACCATTGCTTATATAAGCAAAGGGGCAAGGTATAGGACTAATAATAAAATAAATACCAAACATCTGGAAGAAAGTAGGTAACCTGCATTAATTTTTTATGGTTGGTTGAGTTCAACAGCTAGAAGAGCTGGAAACACTGCTGTAATCTCCTGAGTATATATAACAGTAGAAATATTGTATCTGGTCAATATGGTCCTGACTCTCCTCTTGTCTCCTGTTTCCCTTTCCAGAATGGCTGCAATCTGTCCAAGCTTTGATGATACTTTCTATCATCTTCAGTGTTATATCTTTGTTCATGTTCTTCTGCCAGCTCTTCACCCTCACTAAAGGTGGACGATTCTACCTTACTGGTATTTTCCAGATCCTTGCTGGTAAGTAGAGGGGAGAAAAAAACGATGTGTACCTTGGAATGCTTGCAAAGGGAAGAAAGTCATGGCTATTAGTAGAAAGCAGGGTGACTCCAGTAAAACAAGAGTCTCCTGCAACCTCCCTCAACTTGGTGTTCTCCAGATGGATTGCATTACAAGTCCCATCATCTTGAGCCAATTTCAGTAGCTCACTAACAAGGCACCCTTGTGTCTATCCACTTTGAAATGTGCTCCACTTAATTCAAGAGGATTTCTTCTACATAACAATGTAAGATTTCAGCTTCAGTTGCTAATTGGATATGGATAATAGACCTCGAGATTCCAAGTTAGTACTTTTCTCTAGCATTTCCATTTGAAGTATTTTGGTGCTAGTATAGGGAGGTTAGACCGGGAAGTTGAAAAACATCTGTCTACCAATGCATACTCACCACTGTGGTAGATCAGAGTCCATAATTTTCACTGAAGAGGTTTTCATCCTGCAGTGAATTGATTCAGGACGATAACAACAAGAAGAAGAGACAGGTTTTTCCTGTATCGTGTTTTTTCAGTATTTTGTATTGTGAAAGAAAACAGTTGTTTTTGTCCCATCACAAGTGCCTTATCCTATTCTGTATCTTATACAGATTAATAGGATTTCAGAGAATTTGTAAATCCATATAACCTAACATGTGCTTGGAGGTATCTCACAAACTTTTATTCCTCCATGCCTCTGTTTTCACCCTTGCCAAAACTTCAACATCTTGCTTAAAATCCAATAAGAAAATTCTTATGTCTTAGTTGTAATGATCATTTAAATGAATTAATTTGAGGACTATTTGAAATAGGAATTAAACCAACAGGCCTGCCAGTGTTCAGAACAATGTTCAGCTGTGGAATTTATGCACAAAGTGTATTTACTGGCCCACTAAGAATAGAATAAAAATAAACTGCCAGCTAAAGCTAGATTTTACGAAAAAATAATTTTATGAAGCCCTGAAATACCTATTTCCTTCCTGGTTTTCTACTACTAGGAGCCCTGTATTCTGCTGTCCCTCCCAAAAATGCAGTTTAGTTTCCTTTGAAGATGTTTCATCATACAGTATCAAGGCATAAATATAGGTCTAGTTGGCCAGCCCACTACACAACCATCTGTCTAACGTGCTCTTCTAAACAGATGATTATCTGTTTAGGAAAGCATGATAACCATGGACTGATAACCATCTGTTTAGGAGACCATGTGAACTGACTGAAGTTTCTCTGCTTTTACTATAGTAGAAGGAAACACATTCATCCAATGTACGTTATTGCTCTATTTTGGGCCAGAGATGATGCCTGTTGCATTAAAATGAGTGGCATATTATACGGCTGCTTTCCCTACACTGGTGCCCTCCAGATGCATTGGGCTGCAGCTCCATACTTTAGATTTTTTTCATGGCAGACTTCCCAGCCATTAGCATGATTCATTATCAGTCTTGAAGTACTATCAAGCACAATTTGCCAGTTCAGCCAATGAATCTGCTTGTGGTAGGATCTGGCCGAAGGGAGAGTGTTACATGCTGCTCAGTACACCTTGTGCCAGGAGCCAATGTTCTCTGTTGACTGTCCTTCATCTCCTCATGCTCCCTTAGCTATTGCCGAACATTTCACTTCTCTGTCCTTAAAGAGAAAAACATTTGTTTAATTTCTCCAGAATGGGGGCTGACCTGACACAGATAAATTTGCTTCTCCCCCCAAAAAAGAAGCGGGTAGGAAACGTATTGTTTTTCAAAATTCATGGTGATGCTTCCGTGTAGCATACCTGGGTTGGTAGGGAGATGATAGTACATTTGTGACTGTTAGTCCGTACCTTGCAAATCAATGCTGGGATTAGTGAATATTCAGGATTCTTTGGAGCTAGGATAAGACTGGCCCTTGCCCATGTTTTTCCTATTTGAGATCTCATGGGCGGAATCAATGTCAGTGAATGGAACTTCAGTTTCTGTCGGATGGAATATTGAAAAGCATCCCTGGGGCAGTCAGTGAGGCAGCACTGGTTTCAAGCCATCCATCATTCTCCTTGGAAAAGCTTCTGCCCCAAAGCAACCTTTTGTTCTGTGACTCAGCCTGGCACAGCCTAGGAAGAGCAATGGTACAGTGGCTGACTGGGGGGCATAGGGGTTGCTGTAAAATTCAACCACAGTGCTGGAAGGAGCAGAATGTTGAGCAAGAGTAGTCCTGATTTTACTCCATATACAGTGTTTTCCCAGAAGACTATTCAGTTGAATAGCTTTAAGAGCACATGATACGCATGCACATATAAGCCTTCTGGAAGAATGGGGATGGAGATCTCAGAACTAAACCTCTGACATTTTTTGAACATTTGTTTCTGTTATTAAAATTTGTAACATTCAGTGACCTTTATACCAAAGAAGGCTTGATGCCATTAAGCTTCAGGAGACAATATCCTCTTGGACTTTTGGTAGAGGATTATGTGACTGAGATAACAATATCAAATTATGGGCATGATATTTTTTTATTAATTTTATTTGACTTAGGCACCATCCAACTCCCATCTTAACTCTGAGCAGCTCATGGCATAAGAAGAAAAAAGAAAATAATATGCAGTAAAAAGAGACAGTGAGAAAGAGCACATATAATAGTAACAGAATGGCAGATCCAGTCAACAACACAAACATGTCAAATGCCCACAAGGAGCTCCAGCCACCAGTCCAATGGCCCTCTCTATTTGGGATCAAATATTAAATTTTGAGCTTGGATCATCTTATACTAGAATTAATATTAATTCTGTTCTTTTTTGCCATTCATTTTCTCCATTAGTGTTTTAATAATCCATGTAGGAGAACTTGGCAGAAATGTGGCCAAAGGTAACCCTCTTCTTAACTTTACAAACAGTAAGATGGAAGTCTCAGAGAAAAAAAATGTAAGAGTCCCTTGACTTTTGTTTGATGGCTGCCTGCCTCAAATCTATGCCTCATAATTTATGCACAAAAATATGCACAGCTCCAGAATCCTTATGTGGTTGCTTCCATACAAGTCCATTCAGAATATGAGAAGCTAAGCTGTGATACCAGAGGGCCCTGGTTGGAAGAGCAAGGGAACAGAATGCCAGAGGAAAGATGGCTATCATCTTAATATAGCAGACTGTGTCTCTCAGGATTGTGCTTCCAGTTCTGCAGCAGTAGTTAGAGAAATATGAGAACTGAATTTCAGCATCATGATGGATTTGGTGTAGAGGCCCACTGCTTTTGGTTCTGCCAAATATGCATATTCCCAGGAGAACTGTGGGAAATAATTCCAAGTGCTACCTTTTGGTTTCCTCTTGCAAGGCAAGAAAGTACAAGAGGTTTGTATGAATTTCCCACCTGCCCAGTGAAACACCTCCCCCACCCCCAAACACACACCAATACTGAGGTTGAGTATTTCTGTTTAAAATTACAGATCTTCTCTGGGTTGCCCTTTCTACACACAATCTATGTCTCTTCTCTAAAGACTGTAGGTGATTTGTGGAATGACCACTGCTCTCTTTAATTCCATCCCACTCAAGCAGAGAGACAATAGGTTTTGCTTGCAGCATGTGGGCTCTGATTGTGGGTGTCCACTACATGGCCCAGAGAATGAGAGCTACATCAGCGGTTTGTGAATTCAACACCTTCCTACTCTTGCATTTTCTGCAAACAAAGGGGGCAGTGTGGAGGGAAAGAACAGCTCAAATATCACTGTGGTTGAGGTGTAGGTGGTCCTGAGGCACATTGTAGGAACAGAAATGACTCTGGTGGCCCATTGAGCAGGTTGTGGAATTGCTGGGATCAACGGAAAAGCTTTGTTCTGGACCGTGAATAGAAGGGGCATTGTGTAATCCTGGCAAACCCTGATGCTGGGCTTTCAGAAAAGGCAAAAGGGGGGAAAGCCCATAGAGCTTGTGTTGCTGAGCTGTCAATACAAAAAAAGCTGACCTTAGTGGCATTACTACGCAGGGGCCTGATCTGAACAGCTTAAATGTTGATCACAGGAGCTTAGATGCTGGAGGCAGCAGGATGGAAAAATAGAGATGTCAGGCTTGGTTTACTGATTAGGACAAGGCAGGATTAACTACTATGCTGGGGATTGCAGAACAGAGCTCCAGCCAGATTGGGATCCCTACTTCAAGGTAACAACCTGAATTTAAAAACAGCACTTCTCTAGCTTTCTCTGTTGAATAGGCCAAGGGCTTTTTTTTCAACTGAACAGTACTTGTATTCTCTACTTTATACCAAGTCTTCTGTTCTGTAACAGCTGGGACAATTGTGTTGGCCCTGAAGAAAATTTGGCCTTTGTTGATGTTTTGAAAATAGGGCTTTTATTCTGCCAGACGCAAGAGATAATGATGCCTTAAACATGGCTGCCAATTTCCTAGAATTTCTTGAAGTCAGAGGGGACTGAATTGAGGGGAGGAGGGAGTTTCCTTGACCAAACCTTCTTTCTTGTTCTTGGATCTCAGTTGTGGACTTAGTTGCTCATGGTCTCTCTCTTTCTCTTTTCTGCCTTAGGCCTATGTGTGATGAGCGGCGCAGCCATCTTCACAGTGAGACACACAGATTGGCATCCCTCCACAGACAACGCCTCCTTTGGCTTTGCCTACATCCTGTCCTGGGTGGCCTTTCCGCTGGCTATCCTTAGTGGGGTGATCTATGTCATCTTGAGGAAGCGCGAGTGAAGTGTCAAGGGAGGTCACTGAGACTAGAGCCCTCAGGACAAAGGGTGTTGACAAGATAGAAAATGAAAAAACCAACCCACCCCCCAACCCCATCCACCTATACCCTGCCCCCCCAAACCCACAAAGATATTAGTGGGGGGGAAAAAAAGTAAGAAAGAGAGCTGAAAGAAAGGTTACTGTATTCATTGAAGATGTATATAGTATCTATGGTTTAAAAAGCCTATTTATAACACTTTTTACATATATGTACAGAGTACTGTTTGCTTTTGTTCGTTGACCTGCCACCATGTTTAAAGCCTAAAAAAAGTGCCTAAGAACTCTTAACTCCTAACAATGTAATGAGAGTGCCGCTTTTTCCTCCCCGCCTTTTTGCTGTGGAAGCAAGTGGATCCCTCCTCCAAAGCTTTCCACTGCCAACCTCAAGCCAAGCCCAGTTCAAGAACCCTCCAGCTGGCCCTCCAGCTGGGTATGGTCTGCTACCCTGGCACCTACCTTGGCCCATGCCTGCATTATGGCCCTGTTAACCAAATGATGGAGACCAAGTGCTATGCAGGAAGGGGAAGAACGTCTACCCAAAAGCAGATGGTGTGTTAGGTAAAGGTGGGTGAGCCCAGCTTCTCAACTGCTAGGGATGATAACCCAGTTGTGAAGGGGTTGAATGAGGTATATTCAACCTGAAGCTGTTTGCTACTGTCACTGCCTCCTATAACCCCCAGGTATGATCACCTGAGTTCCTTGTAGGAAAGAGAGGATGCAAAGATCCTGCATCAGGCATCAGTCTCACTCAGAGGGAAATGTTGGCATATTTTGAAACAGCCAAGGCTAGCACTGAGGCTAAGTTAGATGAAAGGAACAATATGGGTGGGATGAGGATCTAAAATAAAAGTTCAGGGAATTGATTTGTAACTAGCCTAGTGCTTCTTCTCCAGCTATGCCAGCTGGTCTTCAGAAAATACTTTCCTCCGGTTTCCTGGAGAATAAGCTAAAGTGGAAAAGCTGAATGACACTTTCTAAGCTCTATGGTCCACCCCCGTCCCTTTCCCTAAATCCTCTGAAATGAAATACCAAATCTGTGAAATGGTGCTATCTATTTACCATTCCTTATATCGCTAAGCCATTTAACCCTTGCTCACTGGAAAGTGGGGTAACCGTTTTGAGAGAAGCCAAGGAATAGGAATGATAAATAATTCTGTGTAATATATACAACCTATAACTGCTTTTGTATGTAGGAAAGTCGCTATCCATTATTATTATTACTATTTTTTTAATAAAGCACTTATAACCAAGGATTTTTTTTTTTCTTTTTCCCTTCATGGGCAGAAGGGAAGTAAGCAAACTTCTAGACCTTACAGAATCCACTGCCCCCCCACCAAAGCTGTTCTGTAACCTTTTTCTGTGCTTCCAGAAATGTCTGGGAATGAACTGTACAGGTGACCGCCCATAGCAGTGTAGGCGGTGCCGTCTAATGCTAAGACTCCAGGCATTATTATGCAATTATTTTGCTTTGCTTTTCTGATTTTATACCAGCTGTGTGGACTAAGAAGCAACAAAATAAAAGCCAGAATAACTCAAGCACTTTGGCTTATATTGCATCTCAATCAATTGTTCTGAATGAGCCTTTACGTTGGGCAACTGACAAGCTAGTGACCTGGGTCACACATTGTGCTAAGTTATAACATGGTTGCCTTAGTTTTAGGTCAATATATGTGGGAATGAGTGATTTGTGGTTCGTTTAGTAAACCAAGGTTAAGCAATCCTAATGGGCCCAGTTAATGTTGCTGGCTGGGGAATTCTGGGAGTTGAAGTCCACATATCTTGAAGTGGCCAACGTTGAAAAACACTGCTATAGAAGATTTATTTGGTGCAACTGCTGGTTTTATTCATTGACAGTATAACCAGATTTGCATACTTCATTCAGCCATAGTTTATTTAATAACATTTTACTGAATAAATCACAATTGGCTAGGTTTCTTCCAAACACCCAAAATTAAACCAAACAGATCAGCTGGGGATCCCCATTATGGACTTAGGTCTTCTAGAGTCATTCAACCATTGTGTTTAAATAATAGTATTGAGAACAGACTATTAATGTTTTCAGGAGTTAGAAGAAGCTATAAGTGAGTAGTGAGCATATGGCTTAGGCTGAGTGTGCGTTGTGAATTGGGTTTGTTAATATTTCAAAGCATTACCTCATGCACAGTGAAAGAACATACTTTCAGTTGCAGCAGAATTGCTCTGATTTTGAATCCAAAATTCTGTGAATGCCAATGCTCAAATTTCGAATGACAAACTCAGTTTGGCTTCCATGCAATAGTAAAATGACCCCAATATTTGATGGACTACGAGTCCTTTAATCCCAACTCAGCATAACCATTAACCAGGAGATGGCTTTGCTAGCATACACTGAATCCCTGTCTGCGTGTGTCGGTGCACTTCTTCAAGCCTGTAAGCTACTCGTTAGATGATTTTAAGACCACTCTTTTAAATTTACAAATTCAAAGGGATTTTAGATTTTTTTGAAGCATCTGATGCAAGACTACCACAGTCTTGCAAGCACTACTTACGCAGCTATTGCATGGGGAGCTCGTGCTTGTAGATGGAGAGCAAGCCTACATTAGCAAGCCCTACCTTAACCTTAAGAAGTTCCATGCCTGTGGATTGGCCAAAGTCCCTGCTTTTTACAAGGCACTGATAGCATTAGTAGAACTCTAGGAATGTATTGAATGTACTTATGTGAAGACCATACAGACATTCTTCTCCATTGGTGTAGATCAGGAGGTGCAGTTTTATAAAACTGCACTGTCTTGGATAGATAACTACAAAGGTGCATGGTGATCAGCTCTGTTCATTCTCCCTTTCCCAGGAGACAGCATGAGAGAACCGAGGGAGGAAGAAGCTCTTTACAGCCTTCACTGGAATCAAAAGGGAGAAAGTGAAGGGCTATGTTTCACAGATCATTTCAAAAAAGGGAGATAAAAGCATTAAAATCATTCACCCTCCCTGGGCAAGTTTTAGCAGCTTGTTCATATTAAAAAGATATCGTGTGGGAGAAACCATCTAGCTCACTGGACTCCAAAAAAAGCAGCATATAAGTGTGGAGGTAGACTTCGGAGCTTTTCTTTTGGCCTGTGCCATGTGGAGAGATGAAGGTGAAAAGGAATCAGGCTTTGGTGACCTTAAAGCAATTGAGATTCAGAAGTACAGCTCAACAGAAAACCAGAGTAAGAGGAGAATGAAAGTGGGCAGGTTATCTAAATTCTTCAGAACCTCTTAAGTCTTCTAAACTCATTTCAGAAATATGTGCTGTTTGTGAAAAGCCTGTGCCTGTAAATGCTACATACTCAGAAGAATACATCTTCCTAGCAATGTTATCATGTCAGTTTGTGATTAAAAAAAAAAAAAAACCACCAAAGAATCCTGCAGTCTTCATGGTATTCTAAATATATTTATGTTTGAGGTGTTGTACAACACTCAATATACAGTACTAGAATTTGTTGCTTGATTTTTACTCCTGAAATTCTAGTAATTATTTCAGAATCTCAGCTCTGCATGCACAGCCCTGAAAGATACAATCAGAGTACTCCACCAGCATGAGAAAGTTTTTCTGGAATATCACCAAGAAACTGCTTCAATACAATTACCAGAAATCAAGCCATCTTTACCTTAACCCGCCCCCCCCCAACCCACCTTGATTCAGAAATGTTTCCTTTGTGAATTTCCTCAGGATAAACTTCTATTCACTTCACGTTTTGCTGAACTTCCAAAAATCCTTTGGAATAGTTTCTATATACACACAACACACATACATGCTCTTTATTGTCTTTGAAACTTCCCCAAAGTGTTTTTATTTGCTCTTAGCAGTCCAGTAATGTAGTTTGGTTTCTTAATTGCAATGCGAAATGTGGTGAAAGTCTGCCCTCTTGGGGAGAAATGTGGCACCACCACCCCTTGTTCTTGAGAAAATGTACATTTCAAAAGGCTTCCAAATTCCCTAAACACAAACATGCAAACACATTCTCTTCCATAAGTGATTTGAATTTTTTTTAAAAAAAGATGGTAGAATCCCATTGATTCTGAAATATCATCTGAACAGACCTCTTTAGCAGGAAAAGTGAAAATACGGGTAAGTTTTTCAGTAGGGTTCTTTGTACTTAAAATTGTTTTAGATATATTTTAGAAAATACACTGGTCTTTATGAATACAACAACTTTTGTAGGGATTTTTATATTCAGCCCAATAATACA